GAATTGTATTGTAATGTCTTCCTGATATTGTAAAGTGCTGTGCAAATTGTTGGCGCTATAAATTCTATATAAATAATAATAATATGGTAGCTGGGTTGATTTCATTAGGAGCACTCACTGTATGAACATTTTGTGTAAGTTTTTGGAATATGGATAAGATTTTCCTGTACACTTTATGGACAAGCAAGAGAATCGTTCTTTTTGCTTCGCATTGAAAGTAAATCCTAAGTCACTTTCCCATTAAACGCCTTATATTTTAAAAATGTGTCCAAAGCCAAAACTTTTTTTTGTTTAGTATTGACTTGCATGTGGAAGGGTTAAACCAGGGTTGTTATTTCCCTACTCGAGTGATTTACCCTCTGTATTAGTCCTAGTGACTAATTCTAGTGTTTGAGTGGCTATAAAACAGGTGTATCCATTTGAAAATGTCCTGTTCCCAAGAAGAAATATCCCATCTCTTAGGAGAGATCTCCTTTTACGTCCTGCTGTGTTGGGACTGGAAGTTAAAGCAGACCTTTACATCCTTTCAATAAAAAAATCACACCAGCATGCATCTCTGCATGCTGATATGAAATTATCTTACATTCATTAGTTAAACAAACATTTTTTTTTACTCACAATTACTATTTTTCCACTTCCTGGTCCTCTTGGGCATCAGTGATGCAGCCTCTACCCAAGTGTTGCATCCTGGGAAGGCTACATCACAGAGCATTGCTGGGAAATCTGTAATCTCACAAGATCTCAGGGAAAGGTATTTTCCTCTCCTGAGATGATGTGCATGGTCACATGTCCTAGTGACATGTGACCGAGTTCCAGGAAGTAAAGGGAGATCAAGTAATCTGCCCTTAGTAAAAATGTCCACTGGGAGAAGACTGGGGAGCAAAGAAAAATAGAGAATGCAAATAATCTGCAATTATTTAGAATTTGTAGACTGCCATTACTAAAGATTTCTAAAGGTGTCTTTGTTGTAATTTTAAAGATATGGGTAAAGTTACTCTTTAAATAGGTTTAAAAAATAAAAAAACAAAAAGGGCTCTGGTGGGGGTTAGCCATAATGTGAAAATATGCACAGCATATCAACACGTTATGGCCAACATACCTTGTAAAAATATCCCCTCCAGCACTGCGCTGTCCACTCTCTCCTTCATCGCTGACACTGTCATCGTCTCTAAGGCCCCATTCACACGGAGCGATTTTTGCAGCGATATCGCTGATATTTCCACGCGATATCGCTCTATGTAGCTTCTCTAATCCATTTCAATGGAGCTGTTCACATCTCGTCGCTCAATATCGCTTGTAGCTCCTACATGACCCTTTTTTCGAGCGATTTCGCTCCTGATTGCATACAGCCCAATAGGAAAAAGTTGCCCGACAAGTCACTCAATATCGCTCATATAAAATCACGCGGAAAATCGCACGATTTTCATGTCGCTCAGTGTGAATGGGGCCTTAGTCTTCTTCAGACTCTTGATTGGCCGGCTGGCACAATGCAACTTTAGCACATGCACATGGCAGTTACTTCATCTTGGGATGCATGGCTCAGTGCACAAAAAAAAAAAAGAAAAATTGCTGACAGGCAGGTAGGAGATTTTTGGCAGAAGAGACTTAGGCTGCCCATACACCTTGCGATCATCGGACGAAACTTTTCGTCCAATGATCGAACCGTTGTACGATTTTCATAAGGTGGCCCCATCCTGCCCCTATTATCACAAGGTTGGTTCAGCAGTAATTAAGAGAAAGCACATGGACGAATTGCAGTAATCGACCGCACGTATTTTCGTCTGCGCACGTGCAGTGTAGGTCGTACAAAATTTGACGTATGGAAATGCCACCAACCTTGCGAAAATTGTACGATCGACCAAAGTTTTCTGACCTGCTGGTTAGTCAAAAGTTGATCGATTGTACAGTATTTGCGGTTGTACACTGCCCATCAACCTTACGAATATCAGATGGAAACGCGATCGCATACGAAAATCGGCCAATATTCGTAAGGTGTATGGGCAGCTTTAAACAGACTATTTTGCTACAAAAAAAACACCGGTCAGCAAATTTGTTCCAGCCAAACCCGAGTTCAACTTGAACATCGGCAGTCTGTGAGTTCGGCGAACACATGAACTGTCAGGGCGTTCGGCAGGCTATTCGCCTGCTGAGCACCCCGCACAGGGTGCTGTGCCTTGTGAGCCCTGATTGGCCAAGTCTTGCACCTCACCACAGGGCACTTTGCCCAATCAGGGAACAGAGAACTGTGAGAGCTATGATTGGGCAAAGTCATGATGACTCTGCCCAATCATGGCTCCCCTGTTACAACTGTAAACAGTTGGGCGTAGCTCGCTGTCACTGCTAACTCCGCCCAAATGTTTATATGTTACCGGCATCTGTCAAAATGCCATTCTGCGGTGCCTGCTCGTCGGGTTTTTTTAAACTATTATTATTATTTATTTTTTATTGTTTCATTTTGTCGAGTCGTCGTCAACAATGCTGGACGTCGTGATTGACGCTGGAGTACGTCGGTGGATCCATTTTTTCTTTTAAAAACTAGTTAAAAACATGTCTTTAATTTTTTTTTCAAATAGAGGATTTTTTCAAAAGTGTGGCCTCTTTTGTAAAACGTTTATTTAACCCTTACTCTGATGTGAATAAGCCCCTGCCCGCACCACCACAACCAACGCCCCAAGGCTTGAGGGGAAGAGGCCCTTGTCTCCATCGGCATGGGGACAAGGTTCTTTTCCAGGGGCGACCCTGGAAAAGCATCCTCCCAGTGTCGAGGGCATGTGGCCTTGTATTGTGGGGGGCCTTTCCGGTCCTGCCAGGCCTGTGCCCGTTTTAAGGGTCTGGTATGAAATTTTAGGGGGGACCCCACGTTTTTTCCCCCCCCCCCCCATTTTTTGGAGTGGGGTTCCTCCTCAAAATTCCTACCAGACCTTAAGGGCCTGGTATGACTTTAAAGGGGGAACCCCACACACTTTCTTGATTTTTCTTTTACATGGGGTCCCTCCTAAAATTCCTACCAGACCTAAAGGTTCTGTATTGTTGGGAGGGGGAACTGCTTAAATACCACCAAAAGAAAGCTCTATCCGTCCCAAAAAAAGGGTAAAAAATTCATTTCAGTAGAGCGTTGTATGACGGAATAAATGGAAATCAAAGTACTGCAGTGCTGAATACCGAAAAATGGCCTGGCCAGGAAGGGGGTGTAAACACCTGGTCTTCAAGTGGTTAAAAAAAACAAAAAAGTTATATTTTCTTTAGAAATGTCAGTTTTGCTGCAGCAGGTTGTATACATCATACAGATGTGCCACTTTACAGGCAGTTTTGGGGGACCCCCGGGCACGATATTTAAAGGAATTTTTCATTTTTATTGTTACCCTTTAAGCAATGTTAAAATCACTGCTCCTTTAAAAACTGTATTTTTTAGAAGTTTTTTTTTCATTGATTAATGTCGCCCAGGGCAGTACCCAGATCCCCATAGCCCCATGAGCTTGAGTTCGAACTTTTCCCATGTTCGAACTGAACACGGGGGTGTTCGGCTCATCACTACCACTCACGCAGTAAAACATTCTGTGTACAATAGTGTGTTGCCAGTACTCTTTTCCAACCTAAAACAGCAGCTGGTATTGGTTCTTATGACCAACACAACTATTTCCATTTAGTCTAAAGTTAATATATGTAGTACACTGTATATTATGAAAATTAGATTTCAACCCCAAGTAAAGGCTTGTTCAATCTAGGGCTTTTCTCAGGCACTTGTTAAGTGCCCTGCAAACAATATCCGACATTAACAAAGCTAATTAGATCAATATATTAGTGTAAATATAGGAGAATTGTCCTTATGCCAAATCAACAGTCACATCACAGTTTCTTTGTACTGTTGTACCAACTCACGATAAAATTGAAATACAACAGTTCCTATAAATGAGAGCATGTGCCAAAAGAAAAAAAGTACTTAAAAAAAAAAAGAGTTCTAAAATAAACATATTTACCACGGTGCAGATCATACTGCAGTGTGGAGGGGCAGCGCCATCACGTGACAAATTCATAAAATGTCCTGCATCAATTTTAGTGATTTGTTGCAAACAGCATTAAAAAGGTGGTTATAAAGAGATTTGTTTATTTCTTGCCATGCGCCAATCTTTGTTAATCCCCAAAAGGGTCTAAAAACATGTACTGAGAGAGAGATAACGTTTACCAGCTCAAAAACCTATTCAGCATTTGGGCAGTGGCTGACTATTTTTAATTGGCTTCCTCTAATGCCCAGTTCCTCTTGTACCCCCCCTCCTGTTGGATGAGTGGTCCAGTTGTAGGCAGAACACTCCCTTAAGTCACTTATTTTGCATCTAGCATAGTGTAAGGCAAACCTGACCCAAAAAAACAAACCAACAGCTTCCCACCCCATTCTAAGCAACCTCTGGTGATTTACCCTTTCAGCTGTTCAATAGTTTTCTATACCACAGTGAATGAAATGCCACATGACTGTTCTGAGCCTAGTGATCGGATAGGCCAGTCATGTATCATATACAGTACTTCCCTATAACCAGAAGTGCTCGCATTTACCACCATAAAATATGTGCAATGTGTGTATTGTATGCACCAGAGGGTGCTTAAACAGGCTACAAGGGTGCTTTGTTTTTGATTTTTCTTCTGAAAGCTTTGCATTGAGGTTCTTTTTTAAAACTATGTGATATACTTCATAAATTTGATCAATTTTACGGAAAACCTTGACTTAAGTAACTTCAAAGGCTTTTTGTCACACACCATTAATAATTCAAGTTAAAGATGTAATTCAGCCATCAAGTGCTCAGAGCACACATGAAAAGGAATCGAAAACTATAAAGATTTTAATAATTTGTCCTATTAATTCTTTGTTGCATTCAATCTGCCTGCCTTGCCATTCCCTTTTTGTTGTATAAAGGCAACTTGAAAGATAAAAATCAATTGCTATTAATAACATAGGAAAAAGTTCCAATGCACAAAGAACACTTTAAAACAAACGAAGCCACCAATGATTTTTCTTGGAATGTGCCATTTAATTGTGTTTTTCACATACTGTATCAATAAATACACAGGATACATAATGACCACTATTTAGTTTCAGTACCTTTGACCTTTGATTAAGATCTTGAAATTGTTTCATGATATAGCGAAAAACTGGATAACATTAGAATAGTCCACATTTATACTTTACTAGAACATGGATGTTAATGGGAAGAGAGGGCAGAAAACACAGAAGCTGCGGATAACCAAAATAAAATAACTCCATTAACTGGATAAAGAGAAGCAGATGGGGAAAACCCACTGGGCATTCGTGATGCAGTTAGCTCCTTGCAGTCACTGCTGGTGGTTGTTCCGATTGCAGCTGTTTTCCAAGATATTCCCTGAAAGACACAACAAGAGATAATTGTTAATGATCAGAAATGTGGAAGTTTGCACTTTAGTTAGAGATTACACCCTGAAGCAGTCTCTGCTGAACTTATTGACAATTGAATATAAGGATGTTAATTACAACATGATATAGTTTACTGAAATGAGCCCTCCTCTACATCTTACATTGAATTTATGTTGATGGTGGTAAAATGATACCAAACTCTGCTTTCCAAGAGCCTGCACACAGATAAGCATTGCTGCTTGGTAGGTCTGTTGGTAATTCACCCAGAATTATGAGTGGAGTTGACTTTCGTGAGGGCCCGTTTCACAGCAGTGTGGTTTGGTACCATGTGCGTCATGCATTCTGAATGGCACCCCAATGCTCCATGCCAACAGACATGCAGTGCATTACAACACGTAGCAATGCACTACCATTTGTTGTAATGTGCTGTGTTACAAGAAATACTACATGCACAATTTTGGTGCATTTAGTCGCCTATTAAATTAAATGGGCTTTCTTAAATGCAACAAAAGTTACTACACGGCATAAAGCACGTGCACCAACATAGCACATTAGCATTAATCGGCTCTTATAGTTGCCAACTGCTAGAACATGGGAATAGAAAAAAAAAAAACCTCCATTATTGTATTAGAAAAGCTAGTAGGTCTACTTTGCAAAAATGTGCAGTTACCAAAGTAAATGAGCAGCAAACATCTGCTGTATCCAAAACGAAAAAATAAATAAAAATTAGGTTTTGGATATACTTAAAACTCTTTAATATGAGAGACTGATCACTGCCTTATGGCACAGAGATGATTCAACACGCTTGTAAATCGGTTTCAATCATGTGCACAACCACTACCATTTAATTACCCAATCATGACAAGTAAGGTTTAGTTCATGTTTCAATTTATAATTTTAACAAATCCTTTAAGGAAACAATACTTGTGCAGTCGTCCAGAGTTTGTCATACCACAACACTGGCCATATGGCTTCTGCTAAAGAAGTTTGGTGGACTGAAGCTGGACCAATCAGCATGTCTGCTAGAACACTGGTTCTTCCTTTTGGAAAGGATCACAAGCACAGTATGGTTGGAAGGTCCCATTTTTAGACATTATATATGTATATCTATCTATCTATCTATCTATCGATCTAGATATCTATAGATCTAGATATATATTATTATTATTATTTTTTAACCTGTGACTTTTATAATACAGAGCATATGTGTATGGGTTCTTGTGTTTTGTTGCCAAAGTACTTTAGGTTCCTGAAGCATTTTTTTAAGAAAATGTAATGGAGTATTTTAATCTGGATTGGATGAAACAGTGTTGATTGTTGCATTTGGCATTCATCATGCTATATAAATGCAGCATGTCCAATTCTGCTGCATTTGAGTTTTCTTTCTCCATACAGGTCAAGGAGAATGCAATGTGTACACATGGAAAGTGCATGGTAAACAAATAAAAAACAAAACAATTCATTATTTCCCAAAAAACACTTTCTCTTATGATTCCATCTAATTTGCTTCAGAGTATATACAAGCTTTAAATATACCAGTAAGGTAAAAATCAAGAAAATAGGTCCAATCAAACATTTCACTTTCTAATGCAGCTGTGGTATTAAGGAGACAATGATTTATGTACAGTATATTACTCATGTATAAAAAAAAATGTCAATTTTACGGTTTAGTGGCTTATTAAACAACATTGTTATTCAAACTGCAGTCACTAGAAGATAACATTTCTTATTCGACTCCTAAATGTTATTTTTCAAATTAAATGGACTTTTCTGAAATGCTAAGGAATAATACATGTTAGGAAAAAAAATAACAAATAAAAAAAACCCACTATAAAACACTTTCCATTAAACAAAGTTTGGTGAAAAATTTACACAGACGCTACAGGAAAGTGGTGTTGGCAGAAGAGTTGTTCCCATTTGCAACTTCTCTAAAATTACCTATTAA